TAGGCGATCTATATTTAATGTATAGCTCATGGTTGTATAAACTTTCTCCAAATATTATTTTCCTTAACTGTTCCAAAAATTGACCGAAGGATCTTTCTTTCAAAAATGAGAAATCTATTTTCCTCTGTTTTATTAATTGCCCATGCCTCGCTATTTCTACTATTTTTCGTTTGGCTAGAGTGCTCAAATTGCCAATGCAAGTTAAAATTGTTTCCTAAATGATTTCAAGCAAATTTTGTTGTCCTGAACAAAGACAACTAACAGAAAAAAAGGGATAAAAAAGATTAAAATAAAAAGAACTCGTAAACGGGGAAACTAGATTGATTCGTCTTATGTTTTTTATCTTTCGTCTGACAAAAATAAAACTATTCTCTTTTTAGTCTGCTCAAAAAACTCAGTTTATTTTATTAATTTCTTAGTTCAGTTCATTAGCTCAGTTCATTTAGTCAGCTCAGCTCATTTAGTTCATTTTATTATGTTATTTATTTTAGTTTTAGTGGTGTGCCGAGTGGCAGGGCGAAGGGGCAACGGCTGTAGTCTCAATGGCTGATCAATTATGCTTCTTTAGTGAAGGAATTAAACTTTTAATCTAGTACTCTTTTTTTGTACAGTATGAAAGGTAAACATTTGGTTTAAGCAAATAGTTTAAAAGAAATAAAATATGATTTTCGAACCAATTTAATATTAAATTTCTCGATCATTAAAATTTAAAATATTTTTTTCAAGAAAAAAAAATTAAATGCTGTTAGAAATAATAAATTCTTCATCCTAGAAAAATTTCTGCATTTATCCACATAAGATTTAGATTTTTAGAAACATTGTCCTGAATATCTGTCATTATTGCAATGTTTTTCTTAGGTCTTTTTATGACAATTTTCCTCTGTGAGGGCAAGAATTGTTGCGTTAAAAAGTATATAAAATTTCTTAAAACTTAGTACTTCCACTTCAAGAAGAAGATCACGATACCCACATATGAGACCTATGGCGTCAGTGCCAACTGATCGTTTATAAGCAAAATGGCGAGTTAAACTTGAGCTAAGTTTCTCCACATAAATTAGAATGTTAATTAACGAGAAGTTAAATTAATATAGAGCCCTATCGGACATGTAATTTGTTGAAATATAATCCTTTTTCGTCTGCGTTTTTTACTTAACTTAGATTTAACTTACTTTGATCCCTGCGATAGCTGGTCGATTTGAATTCCGCATCCGGCTCGCACCGACCACAGTGCTGATGTAAAATATCCTCAGTGGTAGACAGATCATGGGTTAGAGTCCCCTTGACATCAGGCTCACGGTGGAAGGTTTTTCGTGGTTTTCCTCTCCATGTAACGCGAATGTGGGTTAGTTCCATGTAAGAGTCCTCCACGAACGCAAATTTCTCCCAATATTTGATCCAGGAGTTCCCTTGTCTTCCTCAAAATTACAAGGCTACCGAGTTGAACACTGGTAGCCGTAAATCCTAGATTGGATCGGCTGCTCAATGGCGGTAATAAAAAGTAAAAAGAAAGTATAAAATACGGGACATTAAATTAGGTAAAGCTAAAATGAGTGATCTATCTGAAAAGAACTGCGTGATTAGTTTCGGGGTTTGGTGAGCGACAGTGGCATAAAAAAGTAAAAAGTAGTAGAAATTCCTAAAAGAAAAATTTTTTTAAGCGTTTTTAAAAAAAATATATTAATTTGGTACTTTTGATGCTCTTAAAGTAGCTCAAACATTTTACTATTGTGATTAGAGATCACTTAGACTTTATGGGGGCTTGGCCAAAAAGTTTTGAGCCCTCTCTATCTATGAAAATGGATAGAGGCCCATTAGATTTTCACTCACAAGGGAAACTGGGGAAGTGTGACTCGCCAATTTTNAATTGGCGAGTCACACTTCCCTAGTTTCCCTTGTCAGATTATTAGAATAGTTTTTTTTTTTGGAATTTCTAATAACGAGTAACATTTTTGTACAATTGTTATTTTTTGTGAAAACTTTATTTTTTCACTTCTGACTATTGTTAAATTTTTATCAAAGATGAATCCTGTGGGGATTTAAAGAAGACGATTGAACTTTTTTGAAACAATTTTTGTCTGAATATAATTGCAGCGTGGCCCTTTTGATATGGTCCTAACGATATAAATTGAGCTCTGCAGATGCGGCAGTCATTATGGCGTTGCGAATGAAGATAACTGAAACAGTATTAAAATACACTTTTCATTTTTTTCCTTATAATGTTTCAGTTATTACATTGAAAAATTTTACAAAGTAATCTTACATCTTAAGTTAACATCACAGTCTCGGTGTCAGAAACTCTCCATCACGGAGCTGCAGATTATAGTTCGTTCACCAGGAGTTGGCACTTGGCTCCGCCTTCAACACGTGGTATAAGACGATACTATTTCGCTATTTTCGGGAGAAGGATGTGAACAATCTTTAACAAGGCTGCTATTTGGAGATCGTATGACAAAAATAGTTATTTCGCAATCTTTATGTGCATGTTTTTTGCGTGTGCAGTTTATTTCATAAATTTGATGATATTTCTCTCTTTTGATTGAATAGTTTGCCCATTTTAAATATAGTTTGCTGGGAAAACATTTTTAAATATAAAATATATTTAATTAGCACTGTTTTCTTTTGGTGAACATTAATGGTTGTCTCAATTTCAAGCACGGAGATGTTTCTCTTCTTACACTCCCCAGCTGAAATGAACTCTGAAATGTAGGTGGAGCCAAATGCCAACTGCTGGTGAACGAACTATACCACAGAATTTGCAGATTATTTTCCACCTCAGAATTATTATTATAATTTTTTTTTTTACTAAAAAAAACTATAAACGCAAAAAAAAAAAATTAACAGAAAAAATGAAAATTAGAGATAAAACGAAAAGGAATCCTTTATGAAAAACAGGGAATAGTTTATCTTTTTTTAAAAGTTTCATACTAAAAAAAAGAAGACAGTTACTACAGTTACTGGTTATTCCTTTATTTGTCTGCGAAGTACCCGTGTTGATATAGTAATGAATTTCATTTCAAAACTTTCACATCAGGCAAATTAGGGAACAATAATTACAATTCTGTTAATTTCTTTAATTAAAGTGAAAAACTGTATTTTAATATTATCATCAGCAAATTAAACTTTTATTTCTGGTTTCTTTATCTGGCTTTAAAAAAACATCTGTTTGTCAATAGGAAATTCAAACAACAAAGTCTTTGTGTATAATAATTGCAACAATTATCATCTCTGATCTTTGTTGATGTCGCGGATAGATTGGAATTTTTAAAGATTGATCTACAGATTGACTCAATAAATTTTACTACCTCAGTGATTATCATTCAAGAAGCTTCCTTCAAAAGGTTTCTTTAAAAATCGGCCGTAACCAGTTTTCTTATATTCAACTGAATTAGGCAGCAAAGCGATGCCTTGATTTTTTCTCTGAAATTAACTTCTTACTTTAAATATATAGAGCAACAACCGCCCTAGGGACACTAAAAAATGGCGATAAAAGTTTTACCGTTGTCTATATTTAATGTTTCATAACTACCACTACAATTATTAAACATCAATTCACTACTATATAAGACATGCTGACTCAAATCTATCTTGGGGCACCTTTTGATAGAAGAACGTTATCACTATCGAAATTACTCTCCCTACATTTAAGTTAGCCATTTGTTCGGCCTCCTAAACTCGAGCAGCTTTCTCATATAGGGCAGGGTGCGTAGCGGTTTTAAAAAGTGCTTATTTTAAATTTTGTTTCTTAAAAACCCTTAAAGGTGCTTTTTTCATTGGGTGTTTTTAAAAACTGCTTAATTTTCCCTTCTCCAAAATCAGATTTTTGCTTTACCGTGTTGATTTTCGCTACGAATTATGCAGAAAGACACTGTCCACATTCAACGTTTTCACAATTAATTCAACCCCAATCTATTTCGCCAGTCCGTAGCGTATGAAAACGCGATTCGATTTACGATTCAAAAATTTTGACAATTGTCAAAAACAATGCCAAAAGTTTTTTTTTTTTTTTTAACATGATGGTTAAAACCAGATAAAACCGTCAATTGTCGAAAACTTTCCAACCCTGCTAATTGGGTATAATATAGCCTACGTCACAGGTTGTGTTGTTCCTACTAAATTTAACCCATGAACGGCATTTTCTGCGAGCCTAACTTCAAGCCACAAATAAACAAACGAAGTGTTCGATCGTTTAAATAGCTGCTCGCCAGATTTTATTGCATTATAAAGAAAAGTTATTGATATACGATTTTTGATTAATAATTGATTTATGTGGATAGTGGCATAGAATTTAGCATTGCGTCATGGTAAATGTTATTCCTACTAAGTGGAAGTAGTTGTGTTTTTTTTATATTANGGGGTTTTCCATTTAGGTAGATGTTCATAATTGCTTTTAAAGCTTCTTGTTTAAGACCAGTACGCATTGTGTTTTTTTGTAAGTTTATTGCTGCAAAGCCCCTTTCAACCGCTGCAGTACTCCCAGACAGAGAAAACATCAATATATGCGCAGTATGTTGCTGTATTGTGGGTCATTTTGCTGCCTTGTAACTTACAAGACTCTTGTAAGATAATAAAAATTGAAAATGTATCACGAACATTAACGGGAAAATGGCCGTCCGCGCGGACGTCGGATTCGAGAAATTCGTTGTCCGCGGAGAATTTTTGACCGTCGAGGACGGGTGGATGGGCTGTTTTTCGAGCCCTGTAAAATCGTCGATTGTCAAACTTTCCAATCCTACCTAATTATGATATTTTTTTAAAGTGCTTAAAAATATTATTTGAGTGCTTGAAAAGTGCTCAAAATGTGCTTATTTATCTTTGAATGATTTGGCTACGCATCTTGTAGGGACTAATATAGGGATAATATAGGGACTAAAATTATTTGAGAGAAAAAGTGAAGTTTCATGGGAAACCTGCAAAGACATCCTGCTGAAAATTTAAGCAGATGTTCGAGTATGCGGCTTACCACATCTTTGCGAAATTTTGTAGAAGACCTTAATCCTTACTTTTTCCTTGTTTGGAGATCTCTTTTTCTAACTTGGCTGGAACACTGGGCGATACTGGTATGGGTTTACCACCAGAACTAGGCACACCGTCATTAGGAGAACCGATGTCCAAACTCGAAGATTCCAACAAGCTGTCTATACTGCTGGATTTACGAATAGATAACCTGTAAGCACAAAAGTGTTAGAGAACTCCAACAGTAGAACCTACTTATAACGACACTTCGGTTTTAACGAGCAAAATGGAATCTTTTGTTAGGTACAAAATGTATTAGTTATGCACTTTTTTTAGAGAGTAATTTTTTTTCTTCGGTTTTAACAGGAAAAATAATTCTGGACACATGGAACAGTGTCGTAGATAATAGAAAGATATTTTTTAAAAAAAATTTCCAATAGTATACATAAGCAATTGTTTAAAATTATTATGGGATTATAATTATCGTGAAATATGTTTAAGTTTTATTTAACCCTTTCGATGGCCGTGGTAAGTATACTGACCACCACTTTTTGTAGCCCACAGTGAACTTTTTTTTTACCTCTTTTAATTTAGGTTTCCATTTGTTACTAACTTCAGCTTTCTTGAAGTGCGTTTGAATAAAATTGGTAGTTCAAAAAAACATATAAAAGTATAAGTTTGTATCATTCATAAAATTTATTTTATGAATAACGAAAAATAAAAGTCAATAAGTTCCTAATAGGCAGTGGTAAATATACTTACCACCAAAAAAAAATGGCATTAAAATTTAGATTCTTTTTTTATGAACTAAATGAGTTTTTTTTTTTACTATTCTTATACTATTCTCATATCAATTTCAATTCCAAAAATACTTAAATTTACCTTTAGTAGAAATAAATGGCCCATTAAAGGATTAAAAAGAATTTAATCATTTTTCAAAGATATTGAGAATAGATATAATAAGGAGGGACTGCCAGTTAAACTGGACATCTGATAAGCCCATAGTCTTGCTTCCAGAAGATAAGGAAACGCTATTTGGGGAGTTTTGAATAACATCAGGAAAGCTCCGCGATCGTTGCAGAGGCATTTCCTGCCTTAGAGCTCTGTATCACTTAAAGAAAAAAAAAATCAAAATACTAAGATTCCTTAAATGGACGGGGAGGGGGGGGCAATGTAGTATTTAACAAACATAATATTAAATGATGCCAATCACATAATTTTTTTATGCCTAATTGTTTTTAATACTAACCTTTGAATTCGAATTTAGCGAGCATTTTCATGTATGTTGATATAGTTCGTTCACCAGGAGTTGGCACTTGGCTCCACCTCCTCGTACGAAGAGTTCATTTCAAGTGGGAGTAGGGAGAGAAACGTCTCCGCGCTTGAAATTGCGACAAACGTTAATGCGTGCCAAACGCAAACAGTTAATTCTTTTTCAGTCACTAACTTCGCTTTATCATCTGCTACTATATCTTTCGTTACTCTAGCTAATTAAGAATATTGCAGAAAAATGTCTCAAAAAGGAGAAACTATTCACTCAAAATAGAGAAATGTCGTCAAATTTATAAAATATCTAATGTTAAGAAAATGCACATGAAGATTGCGAAATGTATAGTCTTGTCATTATATCGCCAAATAGCAACCTTGATTAGAATTGTTCACATCCTTCTCCCAAAAATAGCGAAATAGTCTCGTCGCATACCACGTGATGAACGCGGAGCCAAGTGCCAACTCCTGATGAACGAACTATACCTTTCTGTTGTGAATGGTACTGCGGTATAAAACATTTTTTGCCTTCGAGATTTACGTTACTTCTTATTTTGGAAACTCTTAAGTGACATTTCTCTCAATAACATAGAAAGATTATGGTTCAAAATCGTTTTCTCATTTTTTATCCATGAATTCTTATAAAAATTCTATGATATTTTCCAGAATTGAAAGATTTAAAAAAAGAAAGAAAAAAAAAGACTGGAAATCTTTGACTGTAATAAAGGTATTAACCCCTCATTATTCTTTATTTCATTTCTACTTTGATTACTAAGATAGGAACCTATAACGAAACTTTTCCTGGTTTCACTTCTATTTTAAACTTTAGAGAAAATCGAGCTCAGGTAAACTATGATGTTTCAAGTGCTGAAAATTTTTTTGTTTAATATGCAAATGCGGGATTTATTTGTATTTGAAACCCTCTAAATTGCACTTTAAAAAGAGAACGCGGTATGTAGAGAGGCCAACGAATAAATATTTTTGAGCCTTTTAATTCCTGGTCTAGTAAATTTCTATTTATAGTTTGCATTTCGTGCAGTAAAATTTTCAAATAATTGTAATAATGTTTTAAGTTTTTAAGAGGCAACAAGTAATTTTTTTAAAAAAAAAATTAGAAAATAATGCTTTTTCTCTTAATTTTTGTAATATTGATTTCAAAATTAAGAAAATGATTGAGAATTATTAGTTTTTTCTTTTAATAAAGCAAGATCCAAGTCTTGAACGAGTTGCCCCTGTCAAGCATTTCTATTAATGATGTCACTATTTTCTGGCTCTTCTGTTCTTTTTTTTTCTTCTTCTGCGCAAATTAGGGGGCGTTGTTTTTATGTTTATTTCAATTTAGTTGGGTCTCGCAGTCAGTAGTGTAATTTGCTGATTGGATTTTTGTTTCAAGTAAGCTATTCTTATGCATTTGTCTTATTTTTATTCTTCCGTATTTGCTTTATGTATTTATATTTTGTAATGTATTCTCTTCCTGAACTTTGGCTAAACCTTTGGGGTACAGAGAGAGCAATTTTAGACTATTGTCGTGCTCTCGCGATGGAAAAGGTTTTGCTTTCATGACTTCAGGAGCTGGTACCCCCTGAAGACGTCAGCTTCGGTTGTCATATTTATCCATTTTTTTCATATTACATTGTTTCCTTTGCTTCTATTTATAGGGTATTTACTCGCTTCTAAATAACTCAAAATAAGTTATGCCACTTTGTTAAGTTATGTTGACTAATTCAAAAGTGATATGCCACTTTGTTAAGTTATGTTGAATAATTCAAAAGTGATATGCTACTTTGTTAAGTTATGTTTAATAATTCAAAAGTGATATGCCACTTTGTTAAGTTATGTAGAACAATTCAAAAGTGATATGCCACTTTGTTAAGTTATGTTGAATAATTCAAAAGTGATATGCCACTTTGTTAAGTTATGTTGAGCCATGGCAAAATTAGCCGAAAATCTGCTCATTTTTATATTTTGTAAAAACATCTCTGGCGTCCTCTTAATATGAATTTGCTGTCTAATCTATTTCTGTTATTAAAAGGGAAGGTATAGTTTGTCTACAGAAAGAACTCCCCTCACCATGAAGCCCAAGGTCACCTGCTGCTATGCTATAGAAACAAGAAATAGCTTATTTCAAAAATGGGGAGCTTCTTTCTCCTCTGATTCCTTTTCTCTAGCCGACTCGAGCCAAAGCCTGTCTTTGGCACAATAACCCTATTTGAAATAGTTAAACCTCGTAACCATAGTCACTGCCATTACGCCAGACGAATGGCTAGGGGAGTTCTTTACTTAGACAAACTATATCGATGTTCTTGAGAAAGAAAATAAAAGCTTAAATAGATATGAAGTCCTACGAGTCAGGTGCTAAAGAGGAATCGGATCCATGCCTGTCACCTCCATTGGCGGATTTATCTCTGGTTGTCAAAAACCGCGCCAACTTCACCAGACCAGCCCGACTGCCTCCATGCTCAGACCTAGAATAGTAAATGGATTCCTTTCAACAAAATCAGATTTAAACACTTTTTTTTCATGATTTAGAACAAGTTGGCTAAAAAAGATGAAATAGAGAGATTTTGCATAGCAACACGAATACTCAGGATGCGCATCTGAAGCTGAAATAGCGTTTGAAAATGTTGAATGATGTTTTTAAATGCGTTGTAGGAAACGCTTTGCAAAATCTACATAATTTTGTGTTTCTCACAGAATTAAAAACTTATGGTCTGCCGTTGGATGTAGAACGAAATTGCCTGATAAAATTATTTAATAAGTTTTAGTCGAAACGTAGTTTCTATTATTTTCTTCATTTTAATTTTGTGTATGTTAGTTTTCTTAGGTCCGAAAGTAGGATTTTTTCCCACCTATTTGTAATTTCTACCTACCTGTTAGGACCTATTTGTAATTTCTTCCGGCACACAGTTTCAGTTAAACGCCTTAACTAGTCTTGAAAGTGGTCAAAAATTTGATAAGCGATAATTTTCCCTCCCCCATCCTTAATTTCAGATTGATTTTGTTTTAGCCTCATGGCGAAATATATCAGCTGTTTTTAATATTTCATGTTTAAAAATTTTTTATTTTTGAAATTTTTATGAAAGCTTTTTCTTTTCACTGAAAAATTTATTAGAACTGCCTAAGATCTAAAGAAGAATAGTCTTTCTTGCTGAAAAAAGTTTGCGAACTTCAAACAATTAAATTAAAACTGCAAAACAAGGAAGTCTCCTTCTGTTTTACAAACATTCAAACAACATTACATTTACAAACATTCAAACTGTTATAAATGAGGATCAAATTATTCAATTTACTATAACAATGTTTAATTGTGTTAAACTTTTATCATTTATACAAAAGTGTGCCTTTTGCATTTTATATTACTTTTCTATACTGTTCATATTAATAATGCAAATTTTTAGTTTGCTTTCATAGCAAATTGCTTAGTTTGCTTACAAGCAAATTAAAATTTTTTGAAAAAAAATTTTTTCGAAGGTAATTTACATTTTGGGGAGAAGTAATTCACATTTGGAACATAAAAAGCTTTAACAAATCTATTTATGTTATTTCGTTGTCTAAATTTTTTTTAGAAATTCATTATTCAAAATGAAACACGTTCTCACAATTAAAATTCTCACTTGGCATTTTAATTTTAGATTAAAGAATGTAATAATTATAATAATATGATTCTCTCTTAAAGAAATATGAAACTTCTCACAGTTGTTGACTTGCGAGACACGTGATAGGGATTTCTCGTTAGATTTTCCCCTTTTATATCCCTAACCCTTCGATTTTGCTCTCCATACAATGATTACTTTCCCCATTCCTGACAGCTTTATTTCCCTTCTCTGTCTTGACATGACAATAGCAAAGGATTTATGCTAAGTAGACAGCTGATCAATAATAGTAAAACCAAGTGTAGAGAAGGATTATTTATCTGAATGAGACAGTGCACACAACCTTTTCATTCATACGGCAGCATTGGCCATTTGAGTTTTAACTTAATGGTGTGTATATAGTGACATTTTATATGGTATATATGTGAAGATGTAGATATTTATATGTGAAGATGTAGATATGAATGTATAATAATTATAGAATCTAAACCTATTAAAGCGTTTGGAATGGCACTATTAACTAGATTAAGTTTTGAACTGATAAATAATCGTTACGTGATGTATAGTTGAGACATGCTTTGTTGTACTGACGAACTTCGTACAGAAAATACAATTTTGATTGTTTGTAACAGTGGTTACCAACTGGCAGCCCGCGAAGTCTTTTTTTGTGGCCCGTGAACTATAATATATTAGTTGTCATTTTTTTGCGGACAATTTTCGAGAAAATCGATGTGGATTTAAAATACTTTTCTTTCTTTAAAAAATAAACCCTACATAATCCCTTCGTTTTTGTGAAAATTAACATACCAACGGTGTAAAAAAAATTTTTTTTCAAGTTTTACATCCAAGAAAATATTTATTCAAATACAAAAATAATCATGTATGTTGCTCTTTTTTATTTCGTTTTTTTTGTATTTTGTGAATATAATTTAGCATATACGAATCAGAAATTTTCTAGAAGAAATTATCCGATTTAACTTTTTGAAACCACTCATTTTGGACAAAATTATTCACATTTGTAAATTTTGTAGGCAGAATCTTTTAATATGCAATTAAATATTTTTTAAAAATCTACTTCTTATTTTAATTTGCAATTCACTACTTTTGTTTTGTACATCTTGATAAAAATCTGACAGTAATATTTAATGTTCCTTTAAACACAAAAGAGTCCTATATAAAATTTTGATAAAGTAGCGGCCCGCCATCTGACTGGTGTTTTTAATTGCGGCCCCCGGCCTCAAGTAAGTTGGAAACCCCTGAGCTAGAAACTTCTAGAGAAGAGCTTTTGCGGGGTTTAAAAGATGCTGTCGACCTTTAACTATGAATGACTTTTTTTTAAATCTCAGATAGGGAATCAGTCAGAAGGGAGAAAATTATAATGAAGATGCAGGAAGTATGTTTTTAAAAATAGATATAGACAGAGATGAAGACGAAAAAACACTAAAGCAATTGAAATTTAAATTACCTTCAATAACGTGGAATAAAACTGATGAAGAAATTGAAGGAGCAAAGAGAGAAAGAAGAATTTAAAGAGAGACAGGTGAATCCAAAAATAGAAATTATATCAAAAACCAAAGAGTACAAAGATGATTATCATAAAAATGATTGACGATGCTGATCATGAAATGAATATGATGAAAATATATATATAGACGCTTTATTAGCTGTTAAAAAAACGTAGATATTACATGGGAAAAGGTTTAGAAACTAAATTGAATATTTAAGCTGATTTGATTGACAACATTTGTAAAGATTCTAAAAGTCAAAAAATTATATAATAAAACTGTCGATTTACTTTTAAGAGAGAAGATTTTAACAAATGAACAAGTAAAAGAACACTTTTCGTAGTATGTATAAATGAGTAACTACAGGGTGTCTATAAAAGAACTCCGGGGTTTTGAGGCAAAATATTTTAATGAAATAAAAAACATACATACATGTTTTATACATGACTGAAAAGCTTACATTTTCAAGTTTTTTTTAACACTTAGTAAAGTTCNTTTTAAGAGAGAAGATTTTAACAAATGAACAAGTAAGAAAATACTTTTCGTAGTATGTATAAATGAGTAACTATATTGAGCGACAGTTAGATTTCTAAATTGAAATCAGCTTATAAAAATGGTAGTTTGCAAATAGATTCACAATTTTGATTTATATTTAACAGATTTTATTTTGTAACTGTCGTTGAACAGTCAACCTGAGTTTAGGTTTACGGCTACTAATGCTGAACTCCGTAGCCATGTAATTTTTAATCCAATTCAGAAGACAAGGGTCCAAGTATTGGGAGACCTGGTCCAAGTATTGGGAGAAAGTTTCTTTCGGGGAGGACTTTTTGATGGAACTAACCCTCATTTGCGTTACATGGAAGAGGAAAACCACGAAAATCTCCCACGGTTAGCCTGATGGCAATGGGACTCTAACCCATGATCCGTCTACCACTGAGGATATTTAACGACAGCACTGTGGCTCGTGCGAGCCGGATGCGGAATTCGTATCGACCAGCCATCGCTGGGATTCGAAGCCGGCTCACCTCATTGGAAGGCGGAAAATTAAAAAAATGACGGCAAGAATCAAAACATTTCTAAACAAATTTTTCAAATTAGTGTGAAAGATTAATTTGCAAAAACAAATAGTTTTCTATGCCGGTAAGCAGAATTCCAAATTATAAATAAATAAATGATTGAATTACACAAAAGGTAGGGTGTATTGTTCCCTGCTCGCTGACACGTATGTTTGATTGCAAATCACTTTTATTTCTTAACTATGTACAGATTTTTAAATTGTATTTGAAAACTCTTCTTTCAGAATAGTTCATAATGTAATGTTAGATCTGTGGTTCTAAGCATGGGGGCAATATAGCTACTCAGCGGGGTGATAATCCTTTGGTGGGTTATCAGGGGGAGATGAATATTAAAAATTTGTAATTATTAATAATAATAAGAGCAGCGAAACGCTCCTCTTCTGGGTTCTGGGATATTTAGTAGAAAGAAAATTTCGCCCAGATGTCCAGCTTCTCCCAAAACAAAGTAGGTTGGTCACTCAACTGAAAGGAGACCTATGCTTAAATTTGACCAACATAAAGCCTGGTATTCAGTCTTTAACTGAAATCCATCAAACACAAGGCAGTCATTGAAGAGGTATAAATGAACAATTGAGTTTTGAAATTTTAAATTTTTTTTCCCTCAGATTTTAGTCAATATTTTCAATTTTTCCTGATTATATTAAAATAATAAATTTAAAAAAATTATTATTGTTTCAACTATTTCGCTTCAAATATCACCTCTTTTTGAATTTTTTTTAAAGGATTAACATTTTATTAACAAAAAAATTTCTAAAACAACTGGATAAAATTGCTTCGTTATTTACATTTAAATCAGAATTAAATCAAAATCAATGAAATTAAAATCAGGTATAATTCAGCATACATTCAAATTTATTAGTGCTCACTTTCAACAATGCATGTTTTTTTTATTTGAAAAGAAAAACGGGGGAGATAAATTTCAGCCAGCTTCTAGAGAGGGGCTGTGGGCAACAAACAGTTGCAAACCATTCTGTTAACAGAGAACAGAGAAATTGCAAAATTGATTTGATTCGCGTGAGCCGCGATGGCTCAGAGGATAGAGCTTTCGCCTTCCAATGAGGTGAACCGGGGTTCGATCCAGGCGATGGCTGGTCGATACGAATTCTGCATCCGGCTTGCACCGACCACAGTGCTGACGTGAAATATCATCAGTGGTAGACGAATCATGGGTTAGAGTCCCCTTGCCGTCAGGCTAACCGTGGGAGGTTCACGTGGTCTTCCTCTCCATGTAACGCAAACGCGGGTGAGTTCCACCAAAAAGTCCTCCACGAAGTCAAATTTCTGCCGATACTTGATCCAGGAGTTCTCTTGTCTTCTGGATTGGGTTCAAAATAACAAGGCTACGGAGTTCAACATTAGTAGTCATAAACCCAAAAAATTAGGTCGGCTGTTCAACCACCGTTATAAAATAAAATAAAATTGATTCCTCAAGTGATTGGTATAAAATTCAGACCTAATTATTTTTCTTAGTTACCACAGCAACTTCGCTCACAAGATTCATTTTAATTTCATTTATGGCCACTAATAAAAACACGATAAAAGTTTTTCACAAAAGAAATCACTTCGTGCGAACGTTTAATTGGCTAATAAGGTTTGACAATTTGGTAATCATTATTTTAATGGCATATGTTAATTGGGCATAGTTTTACAAATAGCGTTTTATTTAAGAAAAAATATTACTTATTCACTGTTTAATATATGAAAACCGAAGGAAAAGTTTAGATACCGTTTTAAATATATTTATCTTTAAATATTGAGTCTTAAGGCTATATAGGATTATTTTATAATATAGGAAGATAACCTTTTGTTCCTTTTATTTAGAACAATGAATTCAAAAAATTAATCGCAGGAAATTCTGAGTAAAACGTAATCGCAGGAAATTCTGAGGAAAGGATAATTATAATGGGTTTCGTATAAAGAAATATTTTTCATAGACAGATAACTTTTATTGACTTCAAACATGTAAATCTGATTCATATGAATCTTTAAACCAAACCAATAAATTATGACAACCCAGTAAATCAGATAACCAATCAAATAAGTAATGACATCCCTATAAATCAGATGACCAACCAAATAAATAATGGCAACCCATTAAATCAGATGACCAATCAAATAAGTAATGACAACCCAAATAATCAGATAATCAAATAAGCAAGGACAACCCAATTAATCAGATAACCAACTAAGTAAGTAATAACATCCCAATGAATCAGATTACCCACTGGATAAGCAAGGGCAACCCAATTAATCAGGTAACCAACCAAATAAGCAAGGACACTCAAATAAATCAGATAACCAACCAAATAAATCAGATAACCAAGTAAGTAATAACAGCCCAATGAATCAGATAAAACACTGGATAAGCAAGGACAACCCAATTAATCAGGTAACCAACCAAATAAGAAAGGACAACCAAATAAATCAGATAACCAACTAAGTAAGTAATAACAACCCAATGAATCAGATAACCCACTGGATAAGCAAGGACAACCCAATTAATCAGGTAACCAACCAAATAAGCAAGGACAACCAGATAAATCAGATAACCAACCAAATAAATCAGATAACCAACCAAATAAATCAGATAACCAACTAAGTAAGTAATAAAAACCCAATGAATCAGATAACCACTGGATAAGTAAGAACAACCCAATTAATCAGGTAACCAACCAAATAAGCAAGGACAACCAAATAAATCAGATAACAAACCAAGTAAATCAGATAACCAACTAAATAAGTAATGACAACCCAATAAATCAGATAACCTGTCAAATAAATACGAATACGTCGGTTTGATGCTGTTACGTTTTTATGATGAAGAATAATAATAAATAATCGAGAATAAACTAATGATTTAAAACTGAATGAAACTAAAAAAAAAGAGAAAGAATTTTAATCAAGTACAAAATGAAAATAACAGTAGTTTTCTGTCTATTAATTCATCATTTCAATCCATTAGTATAACTAAAAACTTTATTTTATCGTTGATTAAAACATGTAAAAAGAAAATGTTTTCCATGCTGTTTTTTTTTACCTCCAGATAAAAACAAGACAATTGAATGCGCATGTAAGTAATATTGTAAGGTCATTTAAAAAAAACTACGCAAACTATTTAAGAAAAAAAAGGTATTAATTCTGTATTTGGTTAAACATATGAATAAGAGAGGGATTGGTGATCTTTTTATTAGTCGTGACGTCAACGGACTCAGATAATGACGTTACAATAGGAATTCATTTCAAAGATACATGAATTTAGAAGATTTATTTTAATAAGCCCCCCTCCCCTGCTCACTTGACCCCGCAGCTCTCTTCCCTCACTCTTTTTTGTCTTGTTTCTTTGACCAGCTGTCATTAAAATAATATTTTTTTTATTCTTTATTATCAATATTATTATACTTATTTATTATACTTTATTATTTTTATACTACATTAGAAGAAGTTTCGAGCCCTTATTCATTTCAAATATACAGATAATCATTAAGAGCGGAAGGGGTTCGTGAAAACGCATGTCTTTACAATATGTTCAGAACTAATTAGAAATCTAAGCATAAAATGTATACAGGACCAAGTAAATCCTATATTCTCCAGCTTATGCTGTTTTCTAAATGGAATTTCGCTCCTCAAGAAAAAAAAATAATTCAATTTTGACAAAAAAAAACAACAAAGAAAAACTTAAATATTAATGTTTACATCAACAACATTTTGAAATGAGGTGAACTGGGTTCGAATTTCAGAGATGGTCGGTCGATACGAATTGCGCACGTGACTCGGACAGACCAAAGTGCTGATTGAAAATATCTTCAGTGGTAGACGGACTATGCGTTAGAGTCCCTTAGCCGTCATGCTTATAGTGGAATGTTTTCGTGGTTTTCCTCTCCGTGTAACGCAAATGCGGGTTAGTTGCATCAAAAAGTCCTCCACGAAGGCAAAATTCTCAGGGTACTTGACCCAGGAGTTCCCTTGTCTTTACTGGATCGGGTTCAAAATCACTAGGCAACCGAGTTGAACATTAGTCGTAAACACAAGATTGGGTCGACTGTTAAACGACGGTAATAAAATCTGTTAAATGTAAATCAAAATAGCGTACCTATTTGCAAATTCACATTTTTATAAGCCGATTTCAATTTAGAAATCTAGCTGTCACTATATATATTTATTCATTTATATACCAATATACGTACCCATATACGTACCCGTATAATACAGACGAATGTCCCTCGCGGACATTTTTTACTATTAACCAGCGATCGGAAGTAACATACTACTAGTAGTGAAACTACTGTAGTCGCTACTGTGTTGGTAGTTTGTAGTGTAATGCACTACTTTTTTTTAAAAAAAAAGTAGTGTAGTGAGTTGTGCGATACAAAGAACAGTAGTTTGTAGTGATTCCTGGTAATAGCCTGCTTGGTAGGGCACTGGGCTCATGTCCAAGAGGTCAAGGATTCGATCCCCGACTGCCGCAGACTCCCCGTGTAGTAAATGGTGACTGATGCACGTTAAATCTGTCGAATCACAAAGTCCTCCTAGTTCCCATAACAAATCATACCTTAGAGGGTACTGATCCAGGAGTTTCCCTGTCTTCTGGGTTGGTTCAGAATTACAAGGCTACGGAGTTGAAAATTAGCAGTCGTAAGCCCAAAACAATGGGTCGGATGTTCAACAACGGTTAGGAAATAAAATAAAAACATTTTCTAGTTATTGTTTCAACATTTTTGTGCAAACTGTCATAGCCTTTGAGAAGTCTGTTAATGATTTTCAGGACAACATGATGTGATAGAACGATTATCATATAGAAAATTATAATTGGAACAGTGTTACAATGATTATTACCTGTTGTCTTTGCTACTGGAAGCCTGCGAAGTTACAGATCCTGTCGAACTAAAGCTATTTCTTGGAGAATTACCGGGGGATTTCGAAGAATTGCCGTCATCATCCACCAATAACTGCCATTCTAAATGAAAAAAGATGACAAAAGATTCTAAATGACAAAATATTCGATTCAAATAAAAATTAATTTAACTTCATAATGTAAATTCACCAACATAATGAAATGAGATTTTTATTTTATTATAGATTTAAAAAAAGATGGAAAACAAAAAGACTTTATTATTTTTTCCTACAAACAACCAGCTTTGTAAATTAATGTGACATTAATTGCGATTGAATTTAGTGACTAATCATGAAATTAAATTTTAATCCTTAATTGAAATTCTAATTTATTTTCTCTTTTATGGTGATAATGCGTCTAACAAGTAAAAAAAATAGTTTTAAATTAAATATCTTTACAATTTCAGTTATGTTTAAAGACAAGATTAGTATTTGGAATACAGTAAAACTGAAAGTAATGCTTTCAGTATAATTGTTTGATTTCAACTGGACTATAATCGCTTGTTAACTGGAGAGGAAAACTTCGAGAGCCTCCCACGGTTAGCCAGACGACAAGTGGATTCTGACCCATGATCCTTCTACCGATGTGGATATTTTTCATCAGCACTGTGATCGGTGCTAGCCAGGTGCACACCCGGCTTCGAATCCCTGCGATGGTTGGTTGATGCGAATTCCGCACCCGGCTCGCACCGATCACAGTGACGTAAAATATCCACATTGGTAGACGAATCATGGGTCAAAATCCCCTTGCCGTCGGGCTAACTGGAAAGAGTTTCGTTATTTTTTTTAACATGGATTCCATTTTAGGAGCTTAACTCGAGATTTCAAGGTGGCGTAATTGATATATAGGGTTTCAAACTCAATCGCTGACAATAAAATGTTATTTCAAAATCTAGACAATCTGAAATAAGCGGATGGGTGTCCACTTTGATCAACCTGCGTAGGGACCGGGGGTGTGTGATATACGTTAAACTGTTCTACCGTAAAGTGCACGACTTCGCGCTCAGATCATCGGGCCACCATAGAAGGGGAGCCATCCCCTCTGCAGCGGATCAAAATTTCGACGGCATGTCTTCGGATCCTCCTCCTCAGGGATGTTTCCCAGACCGTTGCCAATATCCCATTGTGCAGCTCCAGTGCGACGTAAATAAAGTACCTACCTTTCCATCTTGCTTAGTCTTTGCAGTTTCTGCCACAATTCGTTAGGTTCTGTATATTGAGATCTTGAGGTTAGCCGCTTAATTCTCCACTCATGTGTAAATTTTTAATAAGGGCGGGATCTACATTGTGGTCTGATTCCATGAGTAGTGAATAAACTCCTTAAATAATCTTAGACCCTAGAACTATCTACTTGCTTTAAATCGAAGAATCCAGAGTAACTGTCAACAATTTAATAGAATTTTATACCGTCAAATTTAAATAAATCCGTGGCTACTCGTTGTCAAGGAAACACAGAGGAAGTGGATCAATTAGTGATGGCCGTGTTCTCTGAGTCGACAAGCACGTGGGCATAATTTTTCTACATGAGGGGAGGGGGGGGTGTTTGGAAATTCAAAAGTGTCAACTGGACGGAATGTTAAGACTCATATCTGATATTTATGCTTCATAGATATTTTAAATAGATATTAGTCACATTTAAATAATTAAAAAAAATATATTACTGTATTATTAAGACTAAATTTAATTTTGATTCTATATCAGAAAAATCTGTTAAAATTCGAAAAAAAAAATATTATTAATGGGATATTTTGCACCCTATCTTTGTACAACAGAGTGGAGAAATTGTATAGAAATCTTAACATTATGTTCAAAATTAAATTTCTTCGAGAAAAAGATTTAAATTCAGGCGGGAGATCAGTTCGAGAGGGACTGACTGTATCCACAACAAAGGAAAAAAAATTTCAAACCGAAAAAAAAAGAAAAATCAGTGAAAGAAAGGCAATATGTGATCAAAACTAACTATAGAAGATAAGTTTTATATGAACATATTTTGAAACACACTGTAAGAAATGCTTTCAAATAAAGAATTTTGACATTTAAACTACCAATATGTCATACTCTTTTCCCCTGTAACGTGAAAAACAAATCTATATTTTATTAGATACAATGAATCTTATGGATAAAATGTCTTTCTCTCTGTTATTATTTTTGTGGGCTCAAAAAGTATACTGATTTCCGGCCATTATTAAGTCGTAAAATTTTCAAACAATGCGCGTAGCTACAGATATAAAACTTTACCTAGTGATAACAATTTCCTTTTTTTTATTTCTAAACTAGTCGCCCCCCTTCATTGTTTCTCATTCATCATTGTTTTTTCCTTGTTAATTGTAGCATGTTAATTGGAACAAATGTTATGTTAATTATAACACGTTATGTTAATTGTAACAAATTAAACGGTTACCTAAATTTTAGAAATAATCACCTGTACTTGAAAAATAGTTAACCTAAGGAATACTAATTGTGTGAGTCAACAAGTGGAAATAAAGGAGAAGTAATTTTACACGTTAATCATAGTTCAAATAAGAAATGGTTTTTATCGATCTTTATCAAATTATTTTTTATAACAAAATCTTAGTATAAATGTGAATATTTATAGGAATATCTACATAAAACTACATTTAATGCAGTTTTATGCATGAACTTTTTGTCAATATGTTAATTATAACAAATTAAATGGTTACCTAAATTTTAGAAATAATCACCTGTACTTGAAAAATAATTAACCTAAGGAATACAAGTTTTGTGTCTCAACAAGAAGAAATAAAGGAGAAAAAATTTTGCACGTTATCGATAGTTCGAATAAGAAACGGTTTTTATCGATCTTTATCAAATTATTTTTTATAACAAAATCTTAGTATAAATATAATAAGCTACAAATATACTAAGATATTGCTACAAATATGTGAATATTTGTATCAATATCTACATAAAACTACATTTAATGCAGTTTTATGTATGAACTTTTTGTCAATATGTTAATTATAACAAATTAAATGGTTACTTAAATTTCAGAAATAATCACCTGTATTTGAAAAATAATTAACCTAAGGAATACAAGTTTTGTGACTCAACAAGAAGAAATAAAGGAGAAAATTTTTTACACGTTATCGATAGTTCGAATAAGAAACGGTTTTTATCGATCTTTATCAAATTATTTTTTATAACAAAATCTTAGTATAAATATAATAAGCTACAAATATACTAAGATATTGCTACAAATATGTGAATATTTGTATCAATATCTACATAAAACTACATTTAATGCAGTTTTATGTATGAACTATTTGTCAATATGTTAATTATAACAAATTAAATGGTTACCTAAATTTTAGAAATAATCACCTGTACTTGAAAAATAATTAACCTAAGGAATACGAGTTTTGTGACTCAACAAGAAGAAATAAAGGAGAAAAATTTTTGCACGTTATCGATAGTTCGAATAAGAAACGGTTTTTATCGATCTTTATCAAATTATTTTTTATAACAAAATCTTAATATACTAAGATATTGCTTCAAATATGTGAATATTTGTATCAATATCTACATAAAACTACATTTAATGCAGTTTTATGTATGAACTTTTTGTCAATATGTTAATTATAACAAATTAACGGTTACCTAAATTTTAGAAATAATCACCTGTACTTGAAAAATAATTAACCTAAGGAATACAAGTTTTGTGTCTCAACAAGAAGAAATAAAGGAGAAAAAATTTTGCACGTTATCGATAGTTCGAATAAGAAACGGTTTTTATCGATCTTTATCAAATTATTTTTTATAACAAAATCTTAATATACTAAGATATTGCTTCAAATATGTGAATATTTGTATCAATATCTACATAAAACTACATTTAATGCAGTTTTATGTATGAACTTTTTGTCAATATGTTAATTATAACAAATTAAATGGTTACCTAAATTTCAGAAATAATCACCTGTACTTGAAAAATAATTAACCTAAGGAATACGAGTTTCGTGACTCAACAAGAAGAAAATTTTTTACACGTCATCGATAGTTCGAATAAGAAACGGTTTTTATCGATCTTCATCAAATTTAAAACAAAATCTTAGTATAAATGTGAAGATTTATAACAATATCTAACCTCTCTCTTGACTTTTCTTTTGCTTTTGGCAACAACTCAAGTGCGAGTTTATAAAACTAAGATCTCGTGAGAGATAAATTTTCCGCAAAATGGATAACTCATCAAAATTTAAAGAAACAATCGAGAATAAAATAGCTTGAAGTTGCGATAACTTCCAAACAATTTGGAATTAAAAAAAAACTCAAGTTAAGCAAACAAATAAAAATGACTTATTCAAAATGTCAAATTTTTTAGGTCCATAACTGCATTTCAACGGTCACCAGTCCTTACGATTCCCAGTAGAACACCGAAGTCAAGTATCACTGGCTGCGGTCAGTAAGGTGGTGGGTGATCACTAGAGCCCGGATTTTGATGACCTAAAAAATCCCCATCAATGCCCTTAAAAAGTGCAAAAAATGCCCCTAAAAAGTGCAAAAAATGCCCTTAAAAAGTGCAAAAAATGCCCTTAAAAAGTGCAAAAAATGCCCTTAAAAAGTGCGAAAAATGCCCTTAAAAAGTGCAAAAAATGCCCCTAAAAAGTGCAAAAAATGCCCTTAAAAAGGGCAAAAAATGCCCTTAAAAATGCAAAAATTGCGCAAAAAATGCCTTAAATAAAGTAAAAATATTGAATTAAAAAAATGTTTTGCTCTTTAAAATTATTATGAGTCATTTAAAAAATATAAAGCAATGCAATACTTGTTCTACGTTCATTAAAGTTTGAAAAATATGTTTTATATCCTAAAATAACAAAAAAAGGAAAATATATTGACTCCAAAACATTTTCATTTTGTATAGAAACTTTAATGAATATAACAACTTCCATCTCATAATATTACTAAATATCAGAATTACATTGGATTATTAAATGTTTTTTGATAATTTGAAATGTAAACGAGCGTCTCTTGTCTGAAAGTAAATTTTTATACCTGGAGAAGCTTCTTTCAACGTTTACTGATGTTATTGGTGCGTACTTGAAAAAG